TGAAGGCTTTCCTCTTTGTTCTCTCTCACCGGCCCATCACCTGCTGGGACACAGAGAGAAATTAGACTGGAGTCATTTACTGTACTGAGATGAAAGGAAAACTCTGAAAGGGGAACAGAAAAGGGGGAGCACCCAAAGAATGGCTGGAAAGGTTGAATATTCATGAGCTGAGTTCATCCTCCTCCCCCATAACCCTTCCCTAGAGGAGAGAACCCAACCTTCACCCTCACTCTTTAACTGGAATTGAAGACAGGCTGAAGAGCCAGGTAGACTTGATGAAAATACACAAGCGACACCTGCTGTAAGGGGACATAAATTGTTTTCTGAGTTAGTTTAGCTGATTGCTCACCTATGTGGATATCGCTGATGATCTTCCCTTTCTCATAGCTCTGGAGATCTGGGATCTGCAGTTCCTCCCCTCGCTCCACCGAGGAGATCACATGAGCTTTGGAGACTGGAAATCCTGCTCGAGGAGCAATTAACAAAGCGCTGATATTGTTAATTAAGGTGTATGCCATTACTACTTCCAGACCCAGGATGAGTTGCCCGCCCAGAGAGGCTCCTTCCCCACATCTCAGAGACCGGGCTGCGGATGCTACAAGATCCCAGGACAGACTCACCTGCAATAAAGTTGCATCCCCCAGACTAAGATGCAGCCAGTTCCCCAGGGGAACTGAACACCTTGCTGCACACTCTAGGGTATAACTAAAAGTGACAAGGAGTCCTGTAGCACCTTATAGACTAACAGATGTATTGGAGCATAAGCTTTCGTGGGCAAAGATCCACTTCGTCAGATGCATGCATCTGATGAAGTAGGTCTTTGTCCACAAAAGCTGATGCTCCAATACATCCGTTAGTCTATAAGGTGCTACAGGACTACTTGTCGTGTTTGGAGATCCAGACTAACACGGCTACCCCTCTGATAAAGGGTATAACTAAGTCTCCCTCGTGGCTGCTTCCTTCCCCGGACAGGCACACACTGCTCAAGTGAGCTCTAGTGAGGGCTGGCAGGTCTGACACTGAGGCCCACAGGCAGGGCTCAGACTGCAGCTGACACATGGCAGGTCACTAGAACTTGGAGAGAAAAGAGCCAGCAGGGCTCTAGGTCCCCAAGGGCTCTGTGCACAAAGCTTCTGGCTTGGGGACTCAGCTCACCCTGCTCATTGGCTCGGAGGCTCTACTTGAACCAGAAGGAGGCAGATGAAGTTGTCTGAGGTAAGGATGTCAATGAGTAGTCGACTATACACCTGCCCAGCACTCCTGCCTCCTAACTAGTTGACCAATCTGCCAGATGTTCTGCCCCATGTGGCTGGCCAAGGAAGCTAGATGCCAGTTTTTAAGCCCAGCAGCAATAACAGGTGAGTGCACGTGGCAATGGCCTGGCTTCCTTGTTGTCTAATCAAGCTATGGGGATTGAAAGATACGTGGCTCCCAGTTCTGACCTTCTGGGCCTCTTCAGTGAGTGCTAGGAGAAATGGGAAGCACTTTGGGTCCTGGACTGAGCCCTTGTTATGTTTGTCTAGTTATGTATGGAATGCATTGAGACTCCTGCTTCTTGTGTGCTTTGGAGAAGAGGAAGAGAAAAGTCACCTGTCTCCTAGCAGAGGACAGCGCCGCCCTTATGGCTCTAGAGCAGACAAGATAAAGGGCAAGAATTTTCTACACCAGCCTTTTCTCTTTGGATTGACCAATCTCTGAGCAGCCCTGTGGGATGTAGGACTGGTGGTCAGCATGGGTGCCTGAGACCAGCTAGAGCTTCCTCTCACTATGGCCAAACTCTCAGAAGGGCTCTGTGTGATGCCCACTAACCAATCTGGAGGCACCGATAGCTGAGCATGCAGCTCTACCGATGTTCAGGGAATTCCTTGACCCAGGCTTTGCCACGATCTGGGCAGAGCCCCTGGGCAGCATGTGGCTCCTCCTCTCACAGAGGTGTGCTGTGAGCTCCCTGCTGCTGGAGAAACAGAACCTTCAGGCCCTGAGGATTTGGTGCTCAGCATTGCTACTCACCATGGATTCTGTGCATGCAGCAAGTCACAGTGCAGTAATGTAAATGCGCTTCCAGTCCTGTGAACTACTCCCTTCCTAGGGGTGTTTTGTCTACAGCCCTGGGGGAGCTCTCTCCCAGCGCTCTTGTCATGTTTACTCTGTCGCATTAAAGTGCTGCCATGGCAATGTTCTAAGCTTGTACATGTAGACAAAGCCTGAGAGAGAGTAGCCAGCATGAACACAACTTCTGAAAGCAACAGCAGTCACAACACTACCACAGAACTATTTCTTTTCACCTGGTATTGTTGAGTGTTGCCCCAGAAGGTAACTGTAGCAGAAAGAGCCAAGTGTTTGTTCAGTTTGTTGACTTGCTGGCCATTTAGAACCTGATCCTGCACTTGTTAAGGCCTCACTGCAGCTTCATCTGGACTCTCTAAAAGTACTCAATAGCCTCCTCAGAACGTGAAGAAGAGCACAGATTATTAACACATCTCTACAAAGGCATCCTGAATGCTTTATAACAACAAAACAAAACAAAATAAAAAAAACAAAAATAAAAAACCCAAGTCAGATCCTGCATTAAGTTCTGCTAATGTAGAATCCCCTCAGCCCTCTGCACCTCTCTGCTTTGGATCTATCTGCCTTCCATGAAACTACATCTTAATCCAAGCATCTCCCAGCAGATGTCCAACAGCTGTCAACTGAAAAGCACCTTGGCCAAACACAAGTGCTTCCTCTCTCCCTGCTGATAGGAGGTGACAGACCTGTTGGCCTAGAAGTGCAGAGAATTCCTGTTTACTGTATAATTTTAACACTGGTAAATAGTGGGGGTGCCACATTTTTCCTTCCACATCACATAGTTACAAGGTCTGAAATATGCCAAGAATAACACCAACAATCAGGTGGTAATTAATACTAGCTCCTCACCCCAATCTCGGAGTTGCTTCATCAACAAGAAAAGTGAAGATGAGTTTTGACTACCCTCGCTCTGATGCATTAAATCAGACAATGGAGTTTCCACAGCACCCTTTCTCCCATTTAGCCATATCCCCTCCCCTTTGCCCAGGATGACAGCAACCTGCCCGAAATCTTGGCTTTACTCTGGTAACGGTGGCCACATATCACTGTAGGACAAGGACATATTATTCTAAACCTCCTGTTCAGTGTCCAGTAACCAACATTAAATCCTGACAAAGCAACATTGGATAATTGAAAGTATCATGATTGGAGAGAAAAAAAAAAACACTTCAGAGGTTGCATGAGACATAACATAAGAATGGCCAGACTGGGTCAGACCAATGATCCATCTAGCCCAGTGTCCTGTCTTCTGACAGTGGCCAATGCCAGATGATCCAGAGGGAGTCAACAGAACAGGGAATCATCAAGTGATCCCTCTCTTGTCACCCATTTCTAGTGTCTGACAAACAGCAGAGGGAGTCAACAGAACAGGGAATCATCAAGTGATCCCTCTCTTGTCACGCATTTCTAGTGTCTGACAAACAGCTGCTAGGAACACCTTTCCTACCCATCCTGGCTAATAAGTATTGGATGGACCTAATCTCCATGGATGTATCTAGTTCTTTTTTGAACCTTGTTCAAGTCCTGGTTTTCACAATATCCAATAGCAAGGAGTTCCACAGGTTGACCATGCTCTGTGTGAAGAAAAACTTCCTTGTGTTTAAAACCTCTAGCCATTAATTTCATTCAGTAACCCCCTACTACTTATGATAACATATAGAATATAACTTTTCCTTATTCACTTTCCCCATATCTGTTCCTAATCATTTTTGTTGCCCTTTTCTGAATCTTTTCCAATGCCAAAATATCTTTTTTGAGATAAGACTACCATGGCTGTATGCAATATTCAAGCTGTGGGCATACCATGTATTTCTTTAGAGGCAATACAATATTCTCTGTCATTTTCTCTATTTCCTTTTTTAATGATTCCTAACATTCTGCTTGCATTTTTGATTGCTTCTTCACATTGAGTGGATGTTTCAGAAAACTATCCACAATGACTCCAAAATCTCTCTCTTCAGAGTGCTAAATTAGTTCCCATTGTTATGTCTGTAATGTTGGGATTATTTTTTCCAGTGTGCATTACACTAGTTACCGCTTTTCATTGTGGGAGCTGATGGCTTACTCCTACTGTTTGTTTCTTGTCTTATAACCAGTTATCAATCCCTCTTAGTCCATGACAACTTACTTTACTTAAGAGCCTTTTCTGAGGGTTCTTGTCAAAGGCTTTCTGGAAATCTAAGTACACTATATCCACTTGATTCCCCTTGTCCACATGCTTGTTGACCCTTCTCAAAGAACTCTAGTAGATTACTAAGGCACGATTTCCCTTTACAGAAACCATGTTGACTTTTCCCCAACAAATGATATTCATTTATGTGTCTGACAATTCTATTTTTAACTATAGTTTCAACCAACTTGTCCAATTCTGGCATTAGACTTACTGGTCTATAACTGTCAGGATCACCTTTAGAGTCCTTTTTAAATATAGGTGACACATTAGCTATCTTCCAGTCTTGAGGTACAGAAAACGATTTCAAGGATAGATTACAAATCAGAGTGAATAGTTCCACAATTTCACATCTGAGTTTTTTCAGAACTCTTGGGTGAATGTGTTAAGAGTAAAATCGTAAATAGTTAAATGTTTGGTTTGTATTGTTTGATATTATAGGGTATCCCTGTTAAAATCAATATGAATTGTCATCCATTTTGTAAAAAAAATGAAAGACAACCCACATGCCTTGGGTCTATCAGATCATGATTTCCCCGCCTTTGGCAGAAAACAGGTAAACAAATTCCAGTTTAAACTGGATTTACCTCAGAAGTACTTCATACAGGGTCTCCCTAGCAGGGGCAGACTCTGCAGGGGCGGAGTCTCCCTAGCAGGGGTCTCCCACCTTAGAGGGCATAAAAGGCCAACAGCCAGGCAGTTCGGGGCTGCTCATCTTAGAGGCAAGGTGTGCGGGGTTTTCCTTACAGATCATTGCACTTCAGAACAAGACAGCTGCTGCAGCCATACGGAAGACTCCACTTAAGACCATCGCAAGCCACCCTGACAACTACTTACCATCAGAACAGAAGAGGACTATGAGGGCTCTCCTCAGTGCTCCTCTCTCAAAGCTCTCGGTGAGCTGCGAGATCTGAAGTCCTGAGCAACTGTCTGGGAACTATCAAGAAGGTTGCTATAAACTTTTCTTATTATACTTACCAGAGCAATTGGACTCAGCCAAAATTTTCCTTTTCCTTGTGGGTTTTGGGTCTTATTATTATTACCCCTTGAATCTTCTATTTTGTAAATTTACCCTTAATTGATTATTGTTTGGTTCACCTAATCTGGGTCCTTTGATAAATTAAAACACGCCACCAGACAATAAACGCTGGCTGTCACAGGACTCGAACAGAGGGTTCAGTATTGTTAGGGGACCCCTGCAGCCTTATCTTTTCTCTCACCTAACAAATGCCAGATGGTTCTTTTTACTATTATGTTTAGCAGTTTGTTACAAAACATACTCTAACGACACTTCAATCCGGGACAATTCCTCAATTTTGTCACCTAAAAAGAATAGCTCAGATTTGGGAATCTCCTTCATGTCCTGACTCATGATTACTAAAGCAAAGAATGTATAGAGTTTCTCCACAATGACCTTATCATCTTTGAGTGCTCCATTAGCATCTCGATCATCCAGTGGCCCAAAAGCTTCCTGCTTCCAAAAACATTTTGCTATTACTTTGAGTTCTTGGCTAGCTGTTCTTCAAACTCATTCTGGTTTTCCTTGTTATATTTTACACTGAACGTGACTGAGTTTATTCTCTCTTCTATTTTCCTCACTAGGATTTAACTTCCACTTTTTAAATGATGCCTTTCTATCTCTTGCTGTTTCATTTACTTGGCTGCTAGCCCATTGTGGAGCTTTTTTCATTCTTTTACTCTGTTTTTTAATTTGGGGTATACATTTAAGTTGGGCCTCTATTATGGTGTCTTTGACAAGTTTCCATGCACCTTGCAGGGAATTTAGTTATGGCATTGTACCTTTTAATTTCTGTTAATTAACCTCCTTATTTTTGTGTATCAGTAGTTCCCCTTTCTGAAATTAAAAGCCACAGTGTTGGGCTGCTGAGGCGTTTTTCCCACCACCGGGATGTTAAATTTTATTATATTATGATCACTATTTCCAAGCAGACCAGTTGTATTTACCTCTTGGACCAGATCCTGTGCTCCACATAGGACTAAATCAAGAATTGCCTCTCCTCTTGTGGATTCCAGAACTAGCTACTGCAAGAAGCAGTCACATAAGGTGTTAAGAAATTTTATCTCTACATCGTGTCCTGAGGTGACACGTACCCAGTAAATATGGGAATAGTTGAAGTTCTCCACTACTGTACTATTGGGGCGCTTATATGGAGCTGAAGATTTCCCCTATTTAATGTATTTATCCTTCCTCAGCCCTGTGAAACTTGGACATTCTATACTAGCTATTGAAAAGACATGGGAGTGGGGCACAAGGAGAATGAGGAACTTGACCATGGTCACACAAAAAAATCTGTGGCAGGGCAGGTAATTCAACATAAGTCTCCTAAAATTGAGAGCAGTGCAAGAAAAGCAAGAAGAGCTCTCCTCACATTTATCTACTACAGAGCTACCCACACAGAATGGTGGCAGAGAGTGAATTGCCTCATTCACCCTACCACCCTCCCTCCGCCCCAGCACTCAGCCTCTTTCACTGCCAGGAACCAGCCACAAATAAGGAAGGACTCTGGAAACTGCATCTTCTTTCAAGGGGCTCAGCACACTGGCACAAGGGGTATCCTGCTGGCACAAACATGGCCAAGATGGTGGGGAAGCACATTGAGACTTTGGCTGAGGGAAGAGCAGCACCACTGTTATGTCCCTGAACCTGCTTCCCCTCAGAGGGTACGGGAAGGGGACAGTCTCACACACAGGAACCAGGATTATTGGGGCTGATACTCCTGACATTATGGGAGCAGGGAACAATGAGGTACCCTGAACCAAAGCCAACTGAGCTGCTCCAGAGCCCACCCAGCTTCTGATACCCGAGGGGACAGAAATCCTTACCCAGCCAGCTCACAGCCTCATAATTCTCCTGCATCACATCCCAGTAGAGGGCTCTCTGACCCGGGTCCAGCAGAGCCCATTCCTCCTCAGAGAAATACACAGCCACCTCCTCGAAGGTCACTGGCTCTGCCACAGCCATTTCCTTTCCCTGGCTCTGCAGGCCGTGGGCTGAGCTGGAGAAAGACATGGGTGTTCTGCAGCCTGTGGCGGGGAGAAGGGCAATTGGAGACATTTCAGAAGAAGGTTTCATCCTTTCCACAACCTATTCTCATCAGACTCTGTCCTCGTTGACACATGTGATAGACTGCCATTTTGGACAAATGCTTGAGTTCAGATATTACATATGGGGTGGGCAATAACTTGTGATAGGGCGCCCATTCCAAGATTTTGCAAAGTGGTCATGGGCCACACTTTTCTGTGGAGGGGATATGAGGTTTAGGATGGAGGTTGGGTGCCGAAGGGCGCATGGGGTAAAGGCACTGGAATGCAGGATATGGTGTGAGGTCTGAGGGAGAGGGTTGTGACCTGGGTCAGAGGATTGAGGTATAGGGTCGGGAAGGGAATATGGGTGCAGGAGAGGATTCTGGTTGGAGTAGGGGTGCAGGTGGAGGTACAGGATCTGAGAGGGAGTTGTGACTTGGGGAGGAGGGTGCAGAGGATTTTGACGGTGACCTGGGGGAAGGACTTGAGGTGCAGGAGGGGTTGGGGTACCAGAGGCAGGCTCTGGCTGGCAGGCACTTATCTAAGCATCACCCAGCCAGAAGTACTGCAGCACCCCCAAGGCAGGCTGTGCTCCCTGCCTGCTGCAGCCCCAGACCACTTGAAAATGCAGGGTTGTAGATAAATCTATGTATTATATATTGCTGCATATGACTTGACATTGTGCCTCTCTATATGAAGCAAAATGCAGGACAATGTAGCACTTTAAAGACTAACAAGATGGTTTATTAGATGATGAGCTTTCGTGGGCCAGACCCACTTCCTCAGATCAAATAGTGGAAGAAAGTAGTCACAACCATAGATACCAAAGGATACAATTAAAAAAAAAATGAAGGCCCGTGTCTGTGAGCGCTGCCCAGCGGTGGGGCGTGCCCTGGGGCCCCCATGTCAGTAGACCATGGCCCAGCTGGTTCTCACCGGGGCAGGTGTAGATGAATCTATGTATTACATAGATTTATACGAAGCAATATATATTCTATATTGCTGCATATGACTTGACATTGTGCCTCTCTATATAACCTTCAAA